AAGAAAGAACTCCGCCTGCACCGCTCTGCCCGCTTGTTACCGACCCGGTCTGCCTGACTCTGCTGAATTACTCTGCCTGCACCTGCACCTGACCTGCATCTTGTGAGCTACCATATCCACCTACCGCTGCATCCACGGCTCTGCATCTGGCCTACATCCTGTCCACTGCCATACCCGTCAGCCACCGCATCCGGTCCAAAGACCCGCACCCTGACTGCTGCCACACCTGCTTGCTGCTGCACCTATGTCCCTGCACATGCACCTGGCTTGTTTCCAGACCTCCTGGGTCCCCAGCTACCTGCCGACAGCCGCAAGATCTACACGGCACTCCTGCCCCTCCTGGCTCTTCGCCCCTGTTCTCACTTTCAGGGGTTCTGAGCGGGAGCTGCAAGAGGACGCTCTCTCTCCACTTCAGGCTCCCCAACCAGGTACATGACAGTTGCTGCAGGAAAGTTCATTCCTTGGATAGAGAAGTTTGACATTCTCTATCAGCTAATGAACTCTTACCTCAACGACAAAAATTATAATCATCACTCCTCACCTGTGTAACGTATGACAACAGTGTGGTGTTTTATTTCAGAATTTTAACAATAACAGTAGATCTAATTAGGGTTATATCCTGAAAATATAAGAGGCGTAATGCCTTTGTACCTGTTTTCATATATCAAATGCTAAAAAGTGTGATGCTTATCAAATGTGCTAAATAAATACAATTTCTTACAGGAAATATTTTTTTTGAATAGTCCTTTTTCCTGATGGCATTACCTTTCTAAATATAGTATCTTTTTTTATCTATGAGAGTTGATGCAGGTAAAAATTTCAATACATTTAGGATTTTTCAAAAGGAGGCCAGTTAAAAAAAAAACAATAGAAAAAGAGGCTGGTTGGCATTAGTAGTCAATCAGATATCGGTGTTCATTTTTAGCTGCTGTTGAAAACTGACATGGTGTATCTGATGACTGTGCCTAATGTTACCATTTGCTACAGTATGATTACTTGTTTACCTACATAACCAAGGCATGTACTGTAAAACTGTAAAGTGACATTTTAATGATACCTATAAATCAGCAAATTTGTAGTTTAGGTTGTTTGGCTCAATGGTTCTTGACAATTGATACGTGCGCTAATTTATCACATATATGCTCATCTCCTGAGCGAAGATGCTTGCTTCCTTTTGACTCTGTATGCTTCACCCGCAGCTATTTTGCTCTTTTGTAACGCTTTCTTTAGTAAGCGATCTGACTTTGATCCCTTTTTAAATGGGAATCTGGTGTTTAAACATGAGTTATCTCACTGAAGCAAGAGGAAAAAAAATCATTTGGGAATGCTTTTCCTTCTTTTGAAGTGTGTCTTTCATTCTCTTTAATCCTATCTTTATTGAAGTTAAAATAATAAGTGTAAGGGTGCAAAACGCTGGCCAACGGCAAAGAATCTGCTCTGCAGGTGAGAGGGGTGGAGTAGGGGGCTTCAATTTTAACCAGTTCGACATCTGTATTTAAAAATCAGTTGAGTTTTGCCTGCCACAGTAGTGTACAACTGGCTAACAGAAATAAAGAGTACAATGTCTACAATATATTTAATTATCAGATATTGGCCATTGAAGAGTTTAAAATTTTGCTTGGTTTTCAGTGACATTTGCCATTATCTATATTGAAACCCAACTGAACTTTCAGTTTAAATCAGCAAAACACATGCTGGGAAGCATAGGGTGTGCGAAGTCTTACAGTTCATTTCCTTTAGAAAGCAACTACAAGCGAGAGTAGAGAAGCCTATTCTCTGCACACTTGCTCTCTGTATGGAAACAGGGGTTTCTACGCAAATGCCAGACATCCAACCTTCAGAGCTAAATAAGTTGGAGCATTAGCTTTGCTGACTCAGCAAAGGGTGAGCTGGAGCTCTACAAATATACTACTTTTTCAGCACAGAAAGCAAGGGTACTCCTCTGCAGAATGCTGGCAAGGGGCAGACTTTTCAGGCTGTGACTGTTATTTAAAGGAAACAAATCATTAGATTTCATACACTTTTTGTTCTGATATACCTATAAGTTCAAATTTTTTTTTTTTTTTTATATCCAACAGAGGTAAGTAGAGGCACAGACTGCAAAAGTGCACCAGTACAAAAAATGGTTTGGACCCCCTTGAAAAGATCTATGTTTTTTGTCAGAATGCTGTTGGCATAGGTATCTTAATAACTTACTGCCTCACCAGCATTTATCAATAATTGTATACCCCAAATAATAATATGAGGGATGGAGGGCTTTAACAACTTGGCATTTCAGAGGGTTACAATACATTTTAATAGTATGTATAAGACTGAAATATTAGGACATGCATAGCAACTGTCTATTCTCACATGAATGTCATGTCACGCCTCAGACCCTGACCTACTGATCATGAGTCCAGTTATGTTGATGCATTATAAGGGATTTAGTAAGAAATCTATTGCATCCAGATGAGTCAGTATGTCCAGTTACTCCAGCTGCACTATTAGCAAAGAACCTAAACACTAAGAACCTGTAGAGCAGAGTTTAGAGATTGAGTTTGTGTTGTCACAACAGGGTGGGGTATGAAGTCACCACACAACTGTGGTCACACCAAAAGAGTTTGATGCCTCTTCCCATCACTGGGTGCTGCTATGTAGTTACAGAGGTCTGAAGGGACTGAACTGTTGGGGGCGGATTTAAGTGAAATCCAAGTGTGAGCCTGGGAATGCTGGTTTAACATGCTTATGGAATGTGTCTTCAGGAGGGGTTCATGCATCGATACCTGCACTTAGAAAGGCAAAAATTTAGGCATCTTGACTCAAAAGTTAGAGCAATGTTCGCGCAAGTCATCTAACTTTTTTTTTTTCCACTGAACTTAAGCATTTACCTTTACTTTGACATAAGGCTCAATCAAAATGTCATGTTAAATGTTAATTTGGCTATGTAATAAAGAAAACATCCTCTCAATTTTGACTGCAAAAACTCCCTCACCTCCTGAATTTGAGTAGGAGGCAAGTCTCTGACATCCTAACCTCTGGTGTGCCTTTTGCTGGAGATACTTTAGGGTTGCTTCTGCTGAAAAAGCCCCTCTGATCCTTCCAGGGATTTATTAGATTAACATGCTATATATGTAGAGGATTCACTGATTTGCTTTCTGATCTCAGACGAGCCCTGCCGAAATTGCAAGGAATGTATTCCCTACAGTGGGAATTAAAACAAAGACTCTGCTTCTTGGCCTTGCTACATATGTTTCAAAACTATAGGCATGACTACTAGAGATGAGCGAATCGAACATGGCGAAGTGGAATTCGTTTCGAAGATCAGGAAAAATTTGATTCGCGCCGAATCCGAAAATTAGCAAACTTCGGATGCACAAATCGAATTTTCCCAAAAATAGCGGCGACATGTGTGGCGACGGAGCGGGGATCTCTGGGAAGGCGCGCAGACAAGGCGCGCTGACCCATAATGCATTCATTCATGACATGTGATCGCATTAGCCAATCAGCAGCCAGCCAGCCAGCACTGTGTAATGGTGGAGCTATAAATTGCGGCCATCTTACAATTCTCCATTAGCCTCCGGTCATTCAAGAGAGACAGACCTGTCTGTATTAGGGACAGAGTTAGGGCCAGAGAGACTTTAGGGCCACAGAATCGTTACTTAGGGACACAGAATCGTTACTCAGGGACACAGAATTGTTACTCAGGGACAGACACAGAATTGTTACTCAGGGACACAGAATTGTTACTGAGGGACACAGAATTGTTACTCAGGGACACAGAATTGTAACTCAGGGACAGACACAGAATTGTTACTCAGGGACACAGAATTGTTACTCAGGGACAGACACAGAATCGTTACTCAGGGACACAGAATCGTTACTCAGGGACACAGAATCGTTACTCAGGGACACAGAATCGTTACTCAGGGACACAGAATCGTTTACTCAGGGACACAGAATCGTTACTCAGGGACACAGAATCGTTGAATTAAAGAGTATGTCAGACAACACGCAGAGGAGTGGCAGAGGAGGCAATGTTTCAGGAGCGAGCAGACGTGGCAGCAGAGGAAGGGGTCGAGGCAGCACTAGTCGCAGTCAGAGGCCAGTGCTCCCGGTGTCATCCAGCGGTCGTGTCTCCACCGACAACCCTGCCGTTATCGATTGGTTGGCTCGGTCGTCTTCCTCTTCCCAGGTCACCTCTGACACCTACAGCCAACGGTCGGTGGGTACGTCAGACACAACCGTTAGTTGGCATGGCCCGGGAGCAAGCCCACTGAAATCACGTGTCCTCTACCTGCCCCTGTCCTTTGGTGTTCCCTCACCAAGCGAAGTATCGCATGCTGTGGGCTCAGCCCCACTGTACAGTGAGGAAGAGCTAACAGAGGGCGGTCAGGAACGGGGGGAGACAGCCGCCTCTTCAGCAGCCAGGCGAAGAAGCACTGGCGAGGAGAGTGGCTCGGTAGCCGGTCTAGAGACAGGTCTGTCTCCTGACCCACACGCAGCCGAGGGGGCTAGTAGTGAGGCGGAGACCCTAATTGATGATGATGAGGCTGATCGCACTTGGCAGCCTCGTCGTCATCTGCCAGGCCCGTAATCTGTCATGGGCCCCTGTACCGCCTCCTCATGCTGCTGCCAGGTCCAGAGTGTGTCATGGGTCCCTGTACGGCCTCCCATTGCTGCTGTCTCCATCGCCACACTCTGCCATGTGCCACTTTCAGGTCTGCTCAGACTGCTGGTGGGTTCCATTTTGTCATAGGGTGCTGGCAGATCACGGGTCTCCCATTGCTGCTGCCAGGCCCGTAATCTGTCATGGGCCCCTGTACCGCCTCCTCATGCTGCTGCCAGGTCCAGAGTGTGTCATGGGTCCCTGTACGGCCTCCCATTGCTGCTGTCTCCATCGCCACACTCTGCCATGTGCCACTTTCAGGTCTCCTCACACTGCTGGTGGGTTCCATTTTGTCATAGGGTGCTGGCAGATTACGGGCCTCCCATTGCTGCTGCCAGGCCCGTAATCTGTCATGGGCCCCTGTACCGCCTCCTCATGCTGCTGCCAGGTCCAGAGTCTCTCATGGGTCCCTGTACGGCCTCCCATTGCTGCTGTCTCCATCGCCACACTCTGCCATGTGCCACTTTCAGGTCTCCTCACACTGCTGGTGGGTTCCATTTTGTCATAGGGTGCTGGCAGATTACGGGCCTCCCATTGCTGCTGCCAGGCCCGTAATCTGTCATGGGCCCCTGTACCGCCTCCTCATGCTGCTGCCAGGTCCAGAGTGTGTCATGGGTCCCTGTACGGCCTCCCATTGCTGCTGTCTCCATCGCCACACTCTGCCATGTGCCAATTTCAGGTCTCCTCACACTGCTGGTGGGTTCCATTTTGTCATAGGGTGCTGGCAGATTACGGGCCTCCCATTGCTGCTGCCAGGCCCGTAATCTGCCATGGGCCCCCGTACCGACTCCTCATGCTGCTGCCAGGCCCGTAATCTGTCATGGGCCCCTGTACCCGCCTCCTCATGCTGCTGCCAGGTCCAGAGTGTGTCATGGGTCCCTGTACGGCCTCCCATTGCTGCTGTCTCCATCGCCACACTCTGCCATGTGCCACTTTCAGGTCTCCACTGCTGGTGGGTTCCATTTTGTCATAGGGTGCTGGCAGATTACGGGCCTCCCATTGCTGCTGCCAGGCCCGTAATCTGCCATGGGCCCCCGTACCGACTCCTCATGCTGCTGCCAGGCCCGTAATCTGTCATGGGCCCCTGTACTGCCTCCTCATGCTGCTGCCAGGTCCAGAGTGTGTCATGGGTCCCTGTACGGCCTCCCATTGCTGCTGTCTCCATCGCCACACTCTGCCATGTGCCACTTTCAGGTCTCCTCACACTGCTGGTGGGTTCCATTTTGTCATAGGGTGCTGGCAGATTACGGGCCTCCCATTGCTGCTGCCAGGCCCGTAATCTGCCATGGGCCCCCGTACTGACTCCTCATGCTGCTGCCAGGCCCATAATCTGTCATGGGCCCCTGTACCGCCTCCTCATGCTGCTGCCAGGTCCAGAGTGTGTCATGGGTCCCTGTACGGCCTCCCATTGCTGCTGCCAGGCCCGTAATCTGCCATGGGCCCCCGTAACGACTCCTCATGCTGCTGCCAGGCCCGTAATCTGTCATGGGCCCCTGTACCACCTCCTCATGCTGCTGCCAGGTCCAGAGTGTGTCATGGGTCCCTGTACGGCCTCCCATTGCTGCTGTCTCCATCGCCACACTCTGCCATGTGCCACTTTCAGGTCTCCTCACACTGCTGGTGGGTTCCATTTTGTCATAGGGTGCTGGCAGATTACGGGCCTCCCATTGCTGCTGCCAGGCCCGTAATCTGCCATGGGCCCCCGTAACGACTCCTCATGCTGCTGCCAGGCCCGTAATCTGTCATGGGCCCCTGTACCACCTCCTCATGCTGCTGCCAGGTCCAGAGTGTGTCATGGGTCCCTGTACGGCCTCCCATTGCTGCTGTCTCCATCGCCACACTCTGCCATGTGCCACTTTCAGGTCTCCTCACACTGCTGGTGGGTTCCATTTTGTCATAGGGTGCTGGCAGATTACGGGCCTCCCATTGCTGCTGCCAGGCCCGTAATCTGCCATGGGCCCCCGTACCGACTCCTCATGCTGCTGCCAGGCCCGTAATCTGTCATGGGCCCCTGTACCGCCTCCTCATGCTGCTGCCAGGTCCAGAGTGTGTCATGGGTCCCTGTACGGCCTCCCATTGCTGCTGCCAGGCCCGTAATCTGCCATGGCCCCCGTACCAACTCCTCATGCTGCTGCCAGGCCCGTAATCTGTCATGGGCCCCTGTACCGCCTCCTCATGCTGCTGCCAGGTCCAGAGTGTGTCATGGGTCCCTGTACGGCCTCCCATTGCTGCTGTCTCCATCGCCACACTCTGCCATGTGCCACTTTCAGGTCTCCTCACACTGCTGGTGGGTTCCATTTTTTCATAGGGTGCTGTATGGCCTCCCATTGCTGCTGCCTCCACCGCCACACTGTGGCTCCACACTCTGGTTTTGGCCCCGTGACTGCCCCAAATGAGTGAAGTGTGCGGTGATTCTAAGATCGACGGCACTCATCTGCATGTCATACTGACTGACAGTATTATTTCTCTCCCAGCAGACTCCAAGGGCATTTAAATTAAAGGTACAGTGTTCTGCACTAATATAAAGGCTCTCTGAAGCCTAGAAACACCCTTTTTATAAGTTAAATTCGCAGCGAATATATTCGACTCGAATCGAATTTATTCCGCGAATTCGCCGAATCAGCCGAATTGAATTTTTGAATAATTTGCTCATCTCTAATGACTACCACTATCATATACTGCATCTGAACAATGTGCTCGATTGAACTTTTGTGAGGTGTGGCCTCTTGCTTCTATGTTTGCCACACTATAGCCAGGCTTTATCCCTGGGGATGTTTACCATACAAAAGATCAACATGGAAAAACCTTGTAGAGGGCTGTGGCACTTCCTTTATTGAAAATAAGGGTAGGGTATGGTAAAAGAAGCCCCAGTCTTTTCCATCCTTATCAACCACTTTTTTCTTTTAAGCATACCATTTGAAGTTCCAAAAAACCATGCTAAGAAAGAGAAGAAAAACAGGGAAATCTAGGGTGACCTATCGGTGTATTTATAACACAGATCAAAAATACAGATTGATATGTGTAAAAATACATCACAATTTTTATTCAAACAAGATATAAAAACAAGTTATAATACAAAGATCATAATGTATGCGTTACACTTGTTAAAGGCAAAAAGGTACGTGTTTCGCATTAACAACTGCTTCTTCAGACTTTTACGCTCAACTGTGCCAATATACCAATATGAATAATAAAGATACTAAGTTATTACCGTGTGTGTTGCCATAATTGACCGACCATAGCAACACACACATCTTTATTATTCATATTGGTATCACCTGCTGTGAGGCTCTCCATGGAGGGAAAGGACCGCAATTCTCCACACCCCCCTCTTATCGCCACTGATTAATGTAGTGGTGGGCAGTGGTGAGTTGGATAATTTGAGGCAGGTCCTTGGGAGGCACAGGGACTATAAGGATGGGTCTCTAGCTAGCATACTCTCTCTTCCATCTGTGAGAGCACATGCATTGGAATTATGGCGGTTTTCTCACCGGTTATTATACTTTGGTACTGGCAAGTATACTATATTGATATATTGAGTAATTTTGACAGATCAAGGAACCCCTTTCATGTCAAAAAGGTAATGAAGGAGCTGTGTTATTTGTTGAAAAGTTCCTTAGAAATACCTGTACAGGAAAACGTGAAACAACTCTTTGGCTATAATCTTAGTGGATGCTTTCCATAGACAGATTGCCTCTAGATATGGGGTGGAATAATCAAGAGCTACCAACATGTGTTGGTGCACCCTAACAGACTTTAGCAGTGGCACGACCAGATCCATAGCAAACCTCTCAAAAAGGACTTCAATTATAGGCAAGGGTACTTCTGTAAATAGGCAAATGGACTTTGAAAATGTGGTTGAGGTGCCAGTACCTAGCAATAACTAGCACCCAGGGACAAAAGTGATCCCACAACAAATCATTGGTGTGGTCAAATTGTGCAAATTGGGAGGGGGATTATAGTAAAATTTTTACATAAAACCAGAACCTACTCCCCTTATACACAGCATACATATGCTACAGTCATTTTACCCAGAAGTTAGGAGTATGTCATATACAGCCCAGCTTCCATAGTGCTGTAGTGAGGAGTATGCAATACTAGGATTTATCCTTGGAGTTTAGGATACTCGTTTGCATCCTGAGGTTGTAAGTCAATATAGGCATTTTGGGTCTCCATAATTAAATTGGGTGCTAGCACATTTGCCCACTGTTTCTTGGGTAGATTTTCACCTCCTGCGACTCTCTCAGTGATGCTAAAGTAGGCTCCAACATCAGTTTCCATGGACAATTTCATAAAGTGCTCTGCACCAGCTGTCACGGATTAAATGTCGACCCCTGTGCCAGGTCCTCTGCTGCCTCTCGCATAAGGCCTGTATCTGCTGTTTCAGAGGCAGATTTACTTGCTGTTGTCTTTCTAAGGAAGGTCTGTGAGCTTCAGTTTGTTGTTGCACCTATCAAGTGGTTAAATGGTTCAAATGATTAGTCTGCTGTTGCTTAGCATTTGTCAAGAAGAGTTTTACAAGCTCACCCATTTTATTCCCCCAAAGATGTCAGCCTCTTTAAAGTTCGGTCCACATCCAAGCCTCAACTCGTAAGGGGTACGGACCCTACTAGTACCATGCACAAAAGAGGAACAGTCTAAGCAGGCTTGTTATGCACTTTTATTAAACAATTCAGCAAACACAGTTTTCATGCAGGAGGGCTTACTACAGCATAACATAAACCAAACAAAACATCTGTTCATACAAGCTACTAACTCATTTCAGTTCCATTCCTGACAGGGTGACCCCTAAAAAACAACAGCCTTTTCTGGTACCCTTTTAATGTGCTTTCTGCGGTCAGTTTTTTCACACAGCAGCAGATTCTCACAGCAGAGAGAGCCATTAACTTCAGGCTGCTCACACAGAAAAAGACCTGTGGATAGCTGATCACAAGGTCTAGGTATGTTGGAAGGTGCAGCATGGTGCGTTGGCAGTTCAGACACTGAGTCTGGTTGCAATTAAGAAAACTTGTATTGAAGAAATAGCTCAAAGATACAAACAACCCAGTGGGAAGGCACCCAGCTGGGAAAACTCACAGTTCTGTGCAATAATAAAGAGTGGAACAGGTTCTAATGCACTGGCAACATCTGTCTCCAACAGTGGAATGTGGCCTGGCCAGTCTGAGCCCAATGGGGAGAATTCCTAAGATGGATAGCGTTTCCCTATTCGATCCTTTCCCTACTGCTGTTCACTTTCCCTTACAGAAAGTTAACCTGTTTGAACACTATCCACGCGCAAAATGCGTGGCAAGTCTGGGAGCCAGAGTCTTAAATAGACTGATCCAAGATGGCCACCAGAGTCACATGGGACAGCAACATCTAACTGGATCGCTTCCCAGTGACTCAGGAAACCATAGAGGACCGAGTTCCTTCTGACTTCTGCAATGCAGCTGCTGTTTGGGTGCCACCTGCAGTGGAGAAAGGAAACTGCATCTGCCTACAAGTAACCAAAGCTCTACAAACCCTTCAAGCTCCTTGTCAGGAAAGGCTCAGGAACCATAGAAGTCCTACTTGCGGCCACGCAGTGGTTGCATGAGCGCACACAGGTGCACAGTGGCTGTACACTGTACTAGTGCCTGATGTGACTGCTGTTTGGTCTATATCATTCCTGGTAACCTGCTATCTTTATTCTGACCTTCTGTTGCCAACCCGATCTGTTTTGACCACATTTGCCTTATACCTGATCCGCCTGCCAGTTCCTGACCCAGCTTGCCTGACCCTGCTATCGTGTCAGGGATCCCGGCCGCTCGGAGGTGTACGCATGCGCAGATCACCAACTCGCACTAGCCGTCCAGCACTAAGACCTAGGCAATCGCAGCGGCGGCCGCGCATGCGCACTCGCGATCGCTGATGCGCGCCTGTCACCCCATGAGAGCACAGGGCGCCCTATTTGAACCAGCCCTGTGCATCTCAAAATCGCCTTATGGTCTTGTTCCTGTGTTCCTGATTGCCCTGTGTTTCTCATTGCCTTGTTGCCGGCCCAGCCTGATCCTGATACCGTTGTTCACTCCAGCAATGACCC